CCAGAGCCAGAGTACGAGATCGAGAGGTCTTTTTTCCTGAGGATGATCCTGGCCAAGCGGAACGCGGGCCTGACCTGCGGCGGCTACAAGGTGCGTGCCCACGGCCAGGACCCTCCCTCCGCAGCCTTCCCGCGCCCCTGCTCCGGCAGCGCCGAGCACGCTGGGCGGGCGGTGAACAGGGGGACAGGAGTGGGGATGAGCCCTCTGCCCGCGGGGGCTCTCCCAGCCCGGTACTCTTTCATGTGGTTCAGAGCCAGAATTTCTCTCGGAGTTTCAGATTAAAGAGCTCAAACCACAAAACCAAGCAACCGAGCTCCCCGTGGTGGTTTTTTTTTTTTTGCTTTTTAAACTGAACGTCGCACAACCACTGCGTTCCCGAGGTGTGTGTGGGAGCTGTCAGGTGACACCGTGGGAGCCCCGGGTTAATTTATTTCTTTATTGGGTAACTCGTCAGCTTCAGGGGCAGCTCTCCAAGTCAAGGGTTTTGCCCGGGTTCCGCTCAGGGCTCCTCGGTGGGGACAGCCCCTGCTCTCCTACCTTCTCCCCACTTTTGTGTCAGCTGCACAACGCCGGAGGGCGGTGGGTACCTATAGCCCGAGGCGATGTTGTGCCACGACGTGCCGTAGAACAAGAGCATCTGCTGAAATCGCTCCAGGAAGAAGCACCCTAATAATAGACGAGTAAGACTGGAAGTACACAGCAGTCACGTGCAAGGATACACTTAGGAGACATACCTAAATCCACGTCCAAAGATACATTTTGGCTACGGATCGCCTCTGCTCTATCTATATAATAGACATATCTTACACATGTGACATATGCACACATGTAAACTCTTTCTCTCACACGCATACACTCTTCATTACAAAGTTGTAACTGGCTTGGCACTTCCGCGTCTTTCCTTTTTAGAAGAATAATAAAAGCCTAGTTAGGAGGTGGTCCAAAAACCACTTAAGTCAGTGGAAAAAAAAATCTCGTTGACTTTAATGGGCCTTAGATCAGTGCTGAACTCTCGTATGGAAAAAAACCCAATTCCGACCCAAACAGAAGAGCAGAAAACCTTCAGACGGTGCCGCTTTGCCGGAGCGGTGGCGCGGGGCAACGACCCGAGGGCACCCGGCTGCCGCACCGGCATCAGCCGGGGCGGCGGGCGGGTCTGTCCGGGTCCCCTCCGCGGGTAGGGACGCCTGTCACAGCACACCCTCCCCCCCTGCCAGGCAGCCCCCGAGCTTTCCTGTGTCTCCGGCAGGTCATTCACTGCAGCGGGTACCTGAAGATCCGCCAGTACAGCCTGGACATGTCCCCCTTCGACGGCTGCTACCAAAACGTTGGCTTGGTCGCCGTGGGCCACTCGCTGCCGCCCAGCGCCGTGACGGAGATCAAGCTCCACAGCAATATGTTCATGTTTCGCGCCAGCCTAGACATGAAGCTCATATTCTTAGATTCCAGGTAGAGCCGGGGTTATTTCCAAATCTGTTCCCTTAGTCCCTCCCTGCTTCGCCCCCAAGGCCTCCTCTCCTGTCCTCTCACCCGCTGATACTTGCTGCTTCTGTCTCTTGCAGGGTAGCTGAGCTAACAGGTTACGAGCCCCAGGACTTGATAGAGAAGACCCTTTACCACCACGTCCACGGCTGTGACACCTTCCACCTGCGCTGCGCCCATCACCTGTGTAAGGAGATGATGTTCTTGTAGAGACCCTGCCCCTCGCCCCCCGCCTTCTCCCTCTGCAGATGGACTTTGGGTTTGTTAGGATTTACCTCTAGGTCGGAACGGGAAAAGCCGGCTCACTGGAGGGGAGAATTCGCAAAACCCGCAGCGGCTTTTAATGAAACAAGTCGTTAGAGACTGAACTCCGAGCTGGAGGCAGGAGGGAAATGGAGGGGATGGGCAATGAAAGGCTATTTTTCCGTCCTCAGCTCCCGGCTGTAGGACAAGAACTGCCCTGCACAAACCTCAGGCGCTCAGTTCACTTCAAATTCCGGTTAGGAAAAACCCTTTTTTCTTGCTCCAAAAAGCCATGCCAGTGAAATCCAAATACTTTTGTCCCACTTCCACCAAGTCTCACAAGTCTTATCTGTGTATCTAATTTTGACTGCAGTAGTGAGCCTGATTCGGAGAGCTGTTCTTTATTCTATTTTGATATCATGATGACATTAATACATGGCTAGATGAATAAAAAGGATATTAATTTCCGGTAAGTTTCCTTACAGAGAATGTAACAAGAAGAGATAAAACACAAAGCCAGATTTATGGAATTAAATCTCGATGACGATATGTGGGGGTGGGTGTGGGTGGAGGGATTCAACCCCTCTCTGAGAGGATACTCACCTTGCCCCACCAATCTCCCCGAACAATCGCCTTTCATAACGGGTGGCCCGACTCTCAGGGACTGAGATCAGCCCTGCCCGGGGGTCTCCACCACCCTTGCCCACGGGGGTTTCGGTCCACGCTACTCCCCGACGTGATGCTAAGGGTTTCCCAGTCCCTCTCCTCGCCCACGGGGGCCTGGGGGGTGTGCGCCCCCTTCCCAGGGCCGATCAAAACGGAGGCGGGAGCCGCGCTGAGGCTCTCCCCGCTTTGTCCCCGCAGTGCTGGTGAAAGGGCAAGTGACCACCAAGTACTACCGCTTCCTGGCCAAGCACGGCGGCTGGGT